GCGCTGCTCAGAGAAGGACTATTCTGCCTGCTTCCTCCAGAAAGACCAGGAGGTGAGTAAGTGATCCTGGCTGCACTCACTGCACGGACGAGGAGCCGGCATGCGCCCTCTCGCTGGCGCCTCACCCAGGTCTGGTTCCTACCAGAGCTATTCAGAGACAGCAGGGCAGGCCACCGAGCGGGTCACGCATCCCAGAGCGCAAGCAAGCACCACAGACCCCGGCAATCGCTTTCCTCTCTAGACGCCAAGCAGATTCCTTTTTTTGCTTCTTTGAACACATCTGCAGCAACATCTCTATATCCACAGCGTTCTGCTCCTACTGAAATCAGCTGCTGGCTGGGCCAGAGATGTTCCTTTGCCTCCTAAAGCGCCCACTCCCGTCTGCCAGTGGGTTTCAGAGAGGCTGATGGACGCGGTCTGACGGACTCTGTAACATACCATGTGCCCTGTCAAGTCCGAGAGGCCAAGGGAGCAACTTGGGAATTCACCTCTAATAAAAAGCACCAGTGGCCAGAGCAGTTTTCCTCAAGTTTTTTAAAGAGTGTGGCATTTGGGGGAGGGGTGCAAGCTACAGGACCTGAGACGACCTGCACCCTTCCGGGGGTCCTGCTCCTTAGGTCTGGGTACCGCCAACCACCAGCAAGTGCTCCTGGACCGTGCACGGCACTGCACACCACGGATGGACCCGGGGTGGGGGAATGACGGTAAACTGGCCTTCCCTTTAGGGATTTTAGGGGCTCTGGCAGGACGGTCTGCCAACCAGAAGATTCCAACCCATCAGCTGCGCAGGAGGCAGGTCTGCTTCCACGGAGATTTGCAGCCTGAAAAACGGGGGCGCTTGCACCCCACCCTTTAGGACTGTGAGAATCGATGCAGGGGCGCGGTCTGAAGACAAAGGGTCCTTCTCTGTCGGTGGGGGTAATCTGGAATTGGAAGAGATGGGTTTCGGATGCAAGCCTCTCCCAACTCTGGGTGCGTTCCCACTGGGAAAGTAGTCCAGTGAGTCCAAGAGTCGATGAGCAGGCCGGCTGGGCAGCCCCGGCTCTGCACACAGACCTGGGCACTCGGACGCCCATCCTGACCGACACATGAGCCGCCCTGCCAGGCCAGGGCAAAACGCCCAGGAAGACAGCCCAGGGGAGGGGGTGCACTGCAAAAGGGGTGCCTGGACTGCTCCGGAGGCAGAGCTAGATCGACTCAGACAGGCATGACACGAAACTGTCATTCGATGGAGCATTTACAGAGAGACACCTCCTGTGTGCCGGGCACCGGGCCGAGCCAGAGCACAGGGCAGAGCACACAAACCTCCACAGGAAAGGAAGCGACTCTTCACAGAGGCATTTAGGTCAGGAGCAGAGGAATCCTACTGACGGTGAGGGGTTAGACACAGGCCGGGGGCAATCTCCTCCGCTGGAGGTCTATAAAGGGAGGCTAAGCCTGGAGCCATCCCACCGAGAGGCAGTGGGAAGGACCAAATGACCTCACACGTCCCTGGCTCTGCTGCCGGTGCCCGCAGGACAACTGCCCGGAAGCCAGCTGCAGCCCCTGCCCGGCTCCCGGCGGCGGCGGCACTCACCACTGAGCTCTTCTCAAGTAGGCGCGGATGTACGTGTCGTCAAGCCGCACGGCGTGCGTGCAGTCTTCAATTGCGCCGTCTAGCTTCCGAAGCTTCGGGGGAGAGAGAGCAGTCACACTTCACATCGCTGGTGACTGTGGGCTTGGCTTCAGAGCTAAGACGATGGCTCCGTCATGCTGTCCCCGCCCCCACTGCCCCACCTGTTCCAGGGGCAGGGGCCATCCAGCCGCTCAGAGGACGGAGGCACTAGGCAGCCTCCCCACGTTGGGAGTGGGTTTCTGTGTTACATGCTGCAAGGCAGGCACCCTGCTCTGCAAGGATAAGCCACCCGTCATGTCCCACCAGAGGCCCTCCTTCTCCCCGCCACAACAGAGAAAGAGTGGGAGGGGTTCCTGGCCGCCCTTTTCCCAGAGACCAACTCGAGGGGTCCGAGTACTGGGATTTCTCACTGTAAGGATGCTGCAGTGCAGAGGCAACCAGCCTGCTCTTTGCTTCGAGGGGTCTGGGGCCCTAAGGGCGCTCAGCCCACTTCCAACTCGGCACTGTGACCACTGGTCAGGTGGAAGGGAGAGATGCGCGATCATGCCTGCCTCTCGGTCGAGCTGCCCCAGACCAAGACTCACAAAGCGGCAATCACTGGCTTCATCAGGAAGCAGCAGCGATACTGAAGAGCACCCTAGCGTTTCCCTCAGAGGACAGTGGGGTTACACTCCCAAACGGTCCCTCAGGGCTCCGGGAGGTCCACGGAGGAGAAAGTAAAGCTTGCCTCTCGTAACACAGCTCTGACAAGGCCAGGTGACAAGCCAGTTTCCCCATCCCCAGGCTGCTCCGACACTTCTCCGTGTCCCTTCAAATCACCTCTACTGGCCCCAAGGGCCCACCACACACTTACCTTGGAATTCACCGTACCCCGATTACAGTAGAGTTTAGCATTTGTTTTTATATTGTTGGGATCTATTCCTAGGGCTTCTGTGTACAGTTCATAGGCTAGCTTGTAGTTTCCGTCTTTAAATGCCTTATTCCCGTCTTCTTTCTTTGCTTTAAGGGCTTTGGCATTCTACAAAGGAAAGCGACAGGAGGTCGTTACACAGCTGGAGGGCTGAGGGGAGGTGGGGACCCGGATTCAGGCCACACAGCCGCCGCCTCATCGCCAGGGCGACTGCTTTGTGCCGCTCACACCGCGCTCCCTAAAGCAGCCAGGTCAGTCTGCCTGCCGTGACTGCCCAGGGCACGCATGCCCCTCTCTGCTTCAGCCGAGGGCAGAGAAAACCCAAACCGAGGTACTCAGAAGGGTCCTGAAGTAATCGCTACTAAAGAGGCCACACATCTTTGCAAAGCAGGCAGAGGAGCCAGCCTGTTTCTCGGGACTCTAATCGTCTCACATGCCACAGTGGGCAGCCTCCTTCCCCACTCGAATCTGGTCCCTCCGACTTACTCGGCAAGCAACACAGGCCTTCTCGTGGTCAGGGGCCATCCTGAGAGCCTGCACGAAAAACTGAACCGCCTTCTCGATACAGTCTTCATAGTAAAGGCAAAGCCCGCGCACGTACAGGGCGTCGGCATTGGTGGCATCCACTCGTAAAATGTCACTGCAGGAGCGGAAAGGGCACCTTCAGCTGTGGCCCCGGGCAAGCGAGCCCCCACGACTGCAGCCATGGGTGGCCCAGTTCCTCCCCGACCAGTCGTCAACTTCTGAAGGTGTCTAAAGTGGAGGGCCACGCCCCCAATCCCCAGGGTTCTCTAGTCTGCACTCCAGGGCAACAGATCCCGCAGCACTCCTCCTCGGGGCCGCAGAGTGCGGTCAGAGCAGCAAGCTCAGCCACTGCTAGTCAGACACCAATGGTTAGCGCCCCCCAAAGGCCTTCCCAGAATAAACCACCTGTTTTTACCTTGAGCGTACTTTTCATAATCCTTATTAGATGTACCAGGGGTCAGCAAACCACAGCCCTAGACCAACCCTGCCTGCCATCTGTTGTAAACAAAGCTTTCCTGAAACACATCGAGCCCATGCCCACCTATTACCCTGCCTTATGACTTGTAGAACCAACCATGTGTACTAGCTGGGGCTTCGCCAGCCAGCCCTGGAGCAGAAGTGCTTATAGAAAAGGACGACTTTCAAAACACCCCCCGCTCTGTCACAGAGGTTTCCAATGCCTGTCCTACTGCTATATAACCCTGTGGGTTTGCAAATCTGCATTAGCCCTTTTGGCTGTAAACTCACGGAAGGTGTGGTCAGCCCTGGCTGGCCCATCCACTGGGCCATATGGCAGGCTCCCAGACAACACCAAGTCACAGGCCCTGCCAGCTCAGGACTGAACTGACTTGAGCCCATACCTGGCCACAGACTGTGCTTCCGGATAACGGCCCAGCATGGCTAAACATTCGGCTTTGAGGATTTTGAAGCGATGGCAGGCAGGGGCAAATTCTAGGGCACGGTCCATGCAGAAAACCACCTACGGGGAGGAAGAAAACGGTTAAGGCCCGGAGCCTTCACGTCATAGTTCAGTCACAAGTAACAGAATAAAAGCAGAAGGAAGTTTCCTGCATTCACACAAACTACGAAAACGAGAGCAGCTGACCTAGATCAGTATTTCCCCAAATGGGTGACACTGGCCCTGGCGGGGGGTGGGGTACGGCGCAAGGATGATAAGGGGCGGGGCTCTAAAAGCAGACACAATTTATCCTGGATGGCGGGCTGTCATGCAAACGGTTTTCATTGCTAGGGTATTGCTGAGTGTTTGTGTTTGTTTTTCCCGAAAGAGGGACAGTCAGGCAAGTAAGTCTAGAGCCTCCTATCTAGATGGCCATGACAAGAGCAAATCTTTATCAAGTCGTCCCATCGGCTTTAGGAAGTAGGTAATATTACTAGTCTTATTTTACTGACAAGGAAAATCAAGGCACCAAGAACAAAGTAACTTCTTCCAAATGGTCCTATCCAGCAAACGATGGAAACTGAATGGGGCTTTCAACACCAGCGCCGGAGCTAGGAGCTATGATCAGCAAGCCAGCTGCCTCCATAATGAACCCTGTCCACAGCAACTATGTCCAAGCTCACAGCCCTCCGATGATGAGATGCGGTGGCCTACTTAAACATGAAAATGCAGCACCCTCTGGCAGGGGCTACTGAACATGCACACAGCACGGTCCCTCCCCCTCTGTGCACTGGCTCCACAGCTCACCAGGGGTCCTTGCAGTCAGCCCTCCACCCAGAGTGCAGTCCAGACGCGGCCAATAGCTCATGTCCAACGGTTCAGAATAGACTGTATCAGGTGACGAGCTAATCCCAGCACGCTGCTCTACAAACCCAAAGCCAAAAGCACCGGCCAGTAAGAAGCCCCCCGGAAGGACCTCGCCAATAGAGAAGCGGGGTTAAGCTTGTCGCTCGGCATTACGGGGGTCCATCACTGCCACCTTCTCTCCTTTAAAGGTCTGTTCTGAGCTTTCATTTGGGGTCTTAGATTCGCCCTCTCCTCCAAGAGCAAACGGACAGTTAAGGGACACCCATTCTCTCTCAGAATTTGGCTCCGGGGACCAGGAAAAGATGAGTCTGAAACCCCGCCGAGACATCTCCGTCAAGGAGACTAAGGAGTTCACATATGCGTTCATACACTCGGGCAGCATGTGACTCTACACGAAATGAGTGAGGATGTTCTCCATGCACTAATACAGAAAGACTGCCCACATCTATGAAATGTGTGTGTGGTTGTGGGGGGTGGGGAGTGGGACACACAGTAACAAAAAAGAGGTAAGATCAATAATTTAAGTGGCACAGTAGAAACTGGGTAGATGGAAGACAAGCTCACAGGAGCACTCACCACTAAATATTGTCTAGCCCCTCCTCCTCCCGTGAGGTGAGATGCATGTAACGTCACGGTAAGGATTTTAAAGCGGACAATTCAGGGGTGGCTGTGAATTGTTTTAGTTCCGAAGTTGTCGTCCACTCAAAAGGAAGGCCCAGTGTGTTAAGCACTCACTTCCCATTCCCGTCCTGCAGCCCCTTGCAACCACCAGTCAGGATTGATGATCTAGAACCTTCTCGCTGCATCTTGCCCTCGGCATAATTTTGTGGGTCATCACATTGTGCTGTGTGTTAGGACTTCGCTCCTTTTCCTGGCTGGGTGCTATCGACGGTGTGGATACACCACAGTTGGTTTATCCAGGCCTTTTCTGACGGACATCTGGGTGTTTCCACTTTGGGGCTTTTGTGACCAGCGCTGCAATACAACTGTGCGCAAGGGTTTCAGTTTCAATCCTTTGGAATGATGTGCTGCAGACAAGGTGTGCTGCCGGCTCTTTTCCTGCTGGGCCCCAGGAAGATCTTTTCCTGCTGGGTCCCGGGAAGAGACGTGCGGGAAGATGCTGGCAAGGGACTATGATTCCACTGTGAGTGATTATGAACAGGGCTAAGCGTGATTGTAACAACTTGGAGCTCCAAGATGGGCTCTGGTCAAATTTCTCTATCCCACTGGGTATAAAATGACCCTCCCGATCCAGGAAAAGAGAGCTGAGCTCTAACCCCAGCCAAGTGGCAGAGCAGCAGCAGCAAAAGCCCAAGGCAGAACGATAGTCTTCCCGGCCTCAGAGCAAGGCCAGCTGAGTGCCTCTGGGCACCCGGAGAGGTGTGGTGCGCCTCCAGGCAGGGGATCAAAGGAACTACGTTTGCTGAGCACCTCCGGACCGAGGCTTAGGGTGGAGCAGTGTGTTCTCTGGACACTTTTCAGCAGTGCTGAAAGAGCTTTCGAACATGCCTGAGCAAGGTGGATGTGAAGGGACCATGTGGCTGATGACGAGGACCAGAGAGAGGCTTGCCTGGGGACATGGCCAAGATGAGGCTGTCCTGATCAAAAAACTGTGTCCTGAGCATTTTAGATCTTGAATGATACCCTCTTAACTTCCCTAACAAACCCTGTCACCATGAGTTCTATGTGGCTCTAGTTACGAGTTCCGAAACCCAGCCGAGGAGGAGTGTTGAGGGAGGTGTGGCTGATAACCAAACCACACTCCCCACCATCGAGTCCGGGCTGACTCGGCGACCCCCTGTGGGTTTCCAAGACTGTACCTGTTGATGGGAACAGAAAGCCCAGCCTTTCTTCCGGGAGCTGCGGGTGGTTGGAAACTGCCAACCATTAGGATTGCAGCCTAACATAACCAGTGAGCCACCAGAGCTCCTTTGGTTGATAATAGATCAGCAGGAGTGACGGGGTGCCCGTCCTTCAACAGCACAGGCTCCTGTCTCGGCCGCTCTCCGGACAACATCAAAAATGCAAGTACCTGCAGAGCCAAGACACTGGTTTCTTCAGGGCAGAAGGGGGGCGGAACGTCACTCAAATGTAGGCAGCCGCCCCAGCTGCCTTCCTGAGGCCTGCTCGTCGTGGGGACCCGTGGCTGGAGGCTCAGTGCTTCTCTCCCACCCCCACCTCCCATGATCAGGGACAGCTGCAGGCAAAGAATATCTTTGTTTCCTCCAAGTTCCTCTGTTTCCCCTGCCAGGATCATAATTCCTCATTTGTGACATCACCATGCGCCACAGGGGAGGGGAGGAGGGGAGGCTGGAATGCTACAAACAGAGGATTCTCTCACCAACTGGGGATTCTGGCTCTGGACAGAGAAGAAACCCCAAAGACCGCCTTTCAAGACAAAGCTTCTGCCTATGGACACCTCAGAAACGCGGCAGGCGACAGAATCTCTACACCCGCCCCCAAGCGCTGCCCCCGCCCCCACAAAAACACCACCACACACAACTTATGAACCACACCACAAAGACACTGTGGTTATTAAAACCAACAGATACAGGAGGGATGCTAATAAGCTAATGCTGGGCCTCTGTACAAGCTAATAAAATACACTTATTACCAAATACAAGACTTTTGCAGTGTGTGACTTTTAACAATGATGCTTACTATACCCTCTGTTGCCTAACATTTATTGAGCACTGGCTGTAGAACGCACCAAGCAAAATCCCATGGATGACGTAACAGCTCACCCACTTGCTCCAATGCTACTCATAAACCTCGTTGAGAAATCTCCTCTTTGGGGCCATTTATCTCCCCTTTTGACAGCCTAGTGAAAGCTGCCCTCTGAGAAGAGAGGGATTAGGCAGATTATACAGAGGCAGAACCTCCACCGGAACTAGACCTTTCCCATTTCAAATCCGCCACCGCCTTCCACATGAGAATTCGCAATCCGGAAGGGCTGCATTTCCGGAGGAAAGACTAAGGTCAAAGGGATGGTGAGGACAGGTTAAGTCCACTACTCGTGCAAAAGGGGCCTCTCCCTAGCCTGGGTTTGTAGCCCCCTTCCCCCCACTCCTGTCTGCCAGAAGTGAGCTAGTGCTCATTACACACACACAATTGAGTCATTCCCACACAATAAATAATTCCAATTGGTGAACACACTGTTAAGCTACTACTTTACATCAATAGTAGGAACATGTTCCACTAACAAACTCATTTTGCTTTTTACCATGAAGCCAACTATACTTAAGAAAAGAAGTATTTTAGCAAGAAGGTACAAGCCAAGTGAAAGCAGAGCCCGCCTCTTGTGTCCCCGCCCCGCGCACAGCATGACTGACCGTAAGAGATCCGGACCAGAGGTCTTCCCAGGGGGACTTACCTTCCGGAAATCCCGCTTCTCATAATCTGTTTCTGCTATTTTCTCATATTCTACGACTGCATTCGCATTCTTCAACTATACCGGAAAATCAGATACAGAAAGGTTTCAATGAAGTTCTAGACAGATTAAACAAAACATGATAATCAGTAAGGCCCTGAAGGATTTGTCCTTGCGAGAATATCAGGAACACGGAGCCCCCCACCCTCAACCCCCGCCCCCAAGTACATAGTGCTTTACAATTCACAAATCTTTCAAACACATTCTCATCAGACCCTCATGGTGGTACTGAGGAACTATTGTCTTTAATATTTTCACACACATGTACCACACACTGAGATAAACATCTGACTAACTGACATCGGCTACAAACTCTAACTGGCCCACTGTCCATACAAATTCAAATGAAAGACAGACTTACAAGTTTTTGTTGCTACAGATTTAATCAGGACTCGAATTTACTTGCATTTTTAACCTCACTCAATTCTGTTCCTTAAAGGCTCTGTCTGTGCTCCAGCCATCTCAGGAACCTCTCATTTTCATGGGTTTTTAACGAAGTCTCTATTCTCCCCAATACACCACATGGGCTCTTTTGATACGGACAGGATCTGAGTGTACCTCTTGCTGTGCCTGAGTGTTCTTGTGATCCAGTTCTAGTGCTCTCTGGAAACTCCGACATGCCGCCATGGCATTCCCTAGAGAAAGGTGGCACTTGCCCTCCCGTAGGTGTCCCTGGGAAAAAGACAACAAGGGAAGAAAGGGAGCATAATCAAGCCGAGGGAAATAAACAAGAGGGGTAAATACGCACGCAGAAGAAACGGGATCAAAATGGCAGGAGCACTGGTTCTCAAACAGGGGGAAGATTTTGCTCCCTGAGACGACTTGTGTATAGTAGTTACATAGTCTTGTGTTAACTAGAGGATATTAAGAGGGAAGAGGTGGCTTCTCGCCTGATGCCTCCTTGTGGGCGTGGCCTTCTCATGAGGATTCTGGGAACTTCCTCTCTTCCTCCCTGGAGGCAGGACATACTCTCTGCATTACCTTCCTGTTGACAAGCCACATGGAGCCATGCTGATGGCAGCTGGAACCCTGGGGATGAGTCCACCACCATGGATCCACAAGACTCTGCACCCACCAGCCTGTGATCTTCCTGGATTCTGCATCATTGCATGTGACTACATGAGTCTGAAGAGTGATTCATGAACTCAAGTGGATTCCAGCTTACAGCCGTCCATGTGACGAGGAGAACTGTTCCCTCCACCCCGACACCCCAGTTTCCCTGACTATCATCTCCATGGAAACAGACCCCCAGGGCCTTCTCCTGTGTTAGTGCTGGATGGGTCTGAACATCAACCCTTTGGTTAGCAGCTGAGATGCCGCAACCATTGCACCTCAAGGCAGTACTTCGTGACATTTTTGGCTCTGGCACTAGGGAAGGAATGTTACTGATGCCCTGGGAAACCAAGCATCCTGCCACACCTCTTATGGTGCACAGGACAACCTCCCACAACCCAAGAATGATCTGGCCCCAAATGCCAGTAGTGAGCTCAATTGTAGCGACTCAGTCTTCCCGGAGAGCCCCGTTACATACCCGGACAAAACTGTCATCCAACCTCACCGACTGCTGGGCATCGCCTAGAGCTTCCCGGAACCTTCCAAGCATCATTAAGGTGGCTGCTCGATTACCGTAGTAGCTAGCGTTTTTAGGACACATATCTGCAGGAAGGGCAGAAGAGGACAATTCAGCCTGGGTCACTGCCTCCAAGACTCAAGAGGCCATGTCCTCAGATCGATGCCAGGGCAAACAAACAAAGACACATGCTCTTCTAAAGGCTACACCAAGGTTTCTGTACTATCTGCAAATGGACAGACAGCAGGGAAAATAACCCATTTAAAAAGAAGTCATTAAAAATTCCTTTATATCTGGCTCCAAGTGCACTGAATATCTTCCAGGGGGAGGAGTGAGCATACCCGCCGCCTCAAGGAGCGGTGCTGAAGGACTTGTATCACTTGCTTTGGCACTGGGGAGATGCCTGGGAGGATGTTAGGGGAGAAGGTTGCCGACAAGGGATTACAAATGTGCTCATAAACCGAGCACACGGGAAGGATCAAATTTAACTATCTGCCACGGCCATTTTCTAAGATATTTAATGGACGGTCAACTGGCTGAGATGCATTTAGGTAGTTTATCTTTTTTGGTCTTAATATTCAAAATTTGGGGAAAGGCCTCTGCTGTGTTCAAAGGTAATTACCAAAGAATTGCCTGCAGGAGCCCGAAAAGGCCGTTTCTTTTTTGCTCTCATGGGTCATCGAGCCAAAAGGAACGCCCCTAACAACAGCCCCTAACCCAGCAGGCAGACATCTCCTTCTGAGAGAGACCGTTCACCAACAGCCCCTAACCCAGCAGGCAGACATCTCCTTCTGAGAGAGACCGTTCACAGCAGCCCCTAACCCAGCAGGCAGACATCTCCTTCTGAGAGAGACCGTTCACAGCAGCCATCAAAGGAGCATCTTCTAGCACAAGCACCAGGGTCTCCTCACCGATAGCTTTAGTGTAATAGTTATAGGCTTCATTGTAATCTTTCTTGGCGTAGTATGCATTTCCTTGTTCTTTGAAAGACTCTGCTTCCCTAAAAAGGAAAGAGAATCATGTTACTCTAAAGCAGCGGTTCTCAACCTGTGGGTCCCGACCCACTGGGGATCAAACGACCCTTTCGCAGGAAAGGTCACCTAAGACCATCAGAAAACACATTCCTGATGGTCTTAGAAACCGAGACACCGCTTCTCTATCCATCTCCAGGTGAGTCGCCCACATGCAGATATGCCCACATACAAGTACCCGGCGTGAAGACTATTACTCACGCTACACCATGTTTCAAGACAAAATTTCATTTATTTGTCATTAGAAATAAATATTTCACAATATATAATGACATCTTGTTTTTGTGATGGATCACTATGCTTTAATTATGTTCAATTTGTAACCATGAAAATACATCCTGCATATCAGATATATACATTACAATTCATAACAGTAGCAAAACTACAGCGATGAAGTAGCAATGACAATAATGTTGTGGTTGGGAGTCACCACGAGGACCTGTCTGAAAGGGTCGCGGCACGAGGAAGGTTGGGAACGGCCGCTGTAAAGAAGCCTAGGGAACACCCACACTGCAATCTCCCGAGAGTAACCTTTGGTCCGGAGGCCTCGCAGTCGGTGCTATCTCGAGATGGCCAAAGACTGTAGACTGCTGAATAGGCTGATGGGTCCGAATGAGGAGTTCACAACAGCAGCCAAGTTCAGATGCTATTTTTTTGTCACTTAGATACATTCAAAGGAAATCAAAATCTCTTTCAAGTTTCCTGCCCCCTCCCTGCGGGCAGGGAAATGTAGAGATTCCCTTACAGCAACTGAATTTTTAAATCATTATTTCCTTTCCATTGTGCCAAGTGCTGCCTTGTTAGCAAATGCAAAGAAAATTGGTTACACGTAATTCCATGCAGGGGCAAGTGATTTCTCACTATAAAGGGGTCACCTTTCCTAAGCGTTTAAGTGACTTAGTGTCCTAACAGGGGACTCATGCATTTGTCAAGCAGAACCAAAAGCAGATGAGGCAAAGGGGTTAGAAACCACAGGGTACTGATGTTTACGATGGGGACACAGCTAAGTGGCAGCCGAGGAGAGGAACTTCGAGGACAGGGACTTAGGCGGTAGGTGTGACTGCCAGTGCCACGCTGTTCCTTCCCATCACAGCGCTTTCTCCCGACCACATCCATGTGAACACATACTGAGCCCACCCCCCGCCCTCCAGGACTGCACACATTCAGCAGGCAGGCAATACCAGATTTCCCCCCACCCCACTTTAACCATGTTTTGAAGTTGTGCCATTAAACAATTTGCACCTGCCCTACAGAACGATGCTGGAAGTGGAAACAATGTTATTACAGCTCCAGTTCAGACACGCAGCAGTTCATTCCTAAATAACACGTTTCCACATATCGTTGTCATCGGTGGATGGCCGCAAAAACAATGCCCGCAGTGACGTGCTCCTCCTGGGCAGCTCTGTGCTTGTCAAAAGGAAGGACAATCACAGCTTCTAGGCTGTCATCGGTGGCTTCTAAGGGCATCTTGCGGCCAGTGACACTCAAGGCAGAAGAGGTCAGCTTGGAAGGTTCTGGAGACTGGTGCTTCGGAGAGCAAAGGAGTGCTCTGGAGAGACTTTCTCAGGTCGATCGGAGGCTTGTTAGGGAGTTTCAGGAAAATGGTGAGGAAAGGGCTGGGAGAGGGGCACCGAGGCGAGGCTATTCCCCATCACAATAGAGGACCTGCTCGTCCTTGGGGGCAGTGTGGGCCGTCCTGCTCCGCCCCCCCAGCCCTGATCTTGCTCCCCCAGACTTCTCTTTACTCCTGGAGCAACTAGAAGGAAGCCAACCTAAGTCCCTCAAGGAGCCCCCAGCAGCTGTTTTGACCTGGTGTCAATCGAAGTGCAAAGAGGAGTGGCGATGTAAGGAGGTGTAGACCTAGGTGGAGGATGTGCCCAGAAACAAGCCTCACCTTTTGATACTTTTGTTACAATAAATGTTTCTGATTTTATAGCGATACTTTTTAACTTACTTTTCTACACTGGGAATTATATTCCTGACCAAGGAACTAGAACCCTATCACACAAGACCCACCGTATTTTAAAAAGAAAGCAGCTGCCATCCAGTCGATTCCGACGCACATTTTCCCTGCAGAGCGGAGCAGAGCTGGCCGTGCATTTCTGAGTGCAGTCGGAGGAGCACACCTCGTCTGTCCTCCCTACCGCCCACAGCTCTTCACAGAGATGATCGGTTCAACACAGCTGAACACGGAGACATTCCTGTTACACGCATCCGTTTGTCTTCCTTCCCTCCACCACACACATTCAAGCAAACTGAGTTCAAGAGCTGCCTGATGTGTGGACAAACACCACAGCTCCTCACCTTGACGTGTGGTGGGGTTGACAGCTTGTGTCTGTGGACTTGGCACCTGAGCGATGTGTGCCTTCACTAGTTACGTATTTTCAAGTGCAAACTGGCAAAGCTGCCCTCCACTGACCGAGATGGGCCTCGCTTCCCCACCCCAGGCACGGAAGGTCACAAGGACCGTGGGAATGACCTACACCTGCTTGAGTAATTTTATCATCAGTTGCTACCACGCCCAATGAAATCACCTGCTAGAACTCCCAAAGGATTCCCTAGGGCCAAGAATTGGAGGAGCAAGAAGGAAGAGAATGTTCTGAAAGTGATTGTGGGAGCAATTGTATAATACTGCTTGATGTGATCAAACAATGGAATTATGGAATCTGTTATTTGTATTAGCTTCCCATAACATAGTTTTGAAAGAAAGAGAGATAAAAAGAACTAGAAGACCGCCGCGAACATGCCACATGGTGCATACCAGGCTGCATTTAAAAACAAGGAGTCCAGTGGTACAGCAGTTAAAGTGCTCATCTGCGAAGACTGGCAACTCACACCCACCAGCCATTCCACAGGAGAAAGCGGTGACGCTCTGCTTCTGTAGCGATCACGACAGCCTTGCAAGCCCTCTGGGGCAGCTGCATTCTGCCCAAATTGAGGGCAGTGGGTTTGGGCTGTAGACAAGCCATGAGATTTTGAAGAGTTTCAAAGTAATCCTAAACTGTACCTGCAAAAAGCACACACATCCTTGTGGAAAATCATGGGCACCGAGATATTTGGGTAACAAAGTATCGCAGTACAAAGCTTGTTTTTAGGAGGAGAAGAAACCCCTGCGAGGTGCTCTCCCTCCACCCCGCCTCCAACAGGACTGCCATGGAGTGAGTTCAGGCCTGGCTTCTAGTAAAAATGCAAATGCTAATTACTATGGAACATTATTAATAATTATTGTGGCCAGGTCTTTTCACACATTATCTCCCCCAGACAACCAGCCAGGTGAGTCTCATTGTCCCCATTCTTCAAAGGAGGAAATGAGAGCTTGGAGGTTAAAGGTGCCCAAGTTCAGGATGTGAACTCACACCTGTCAGACTCTGAAACTTGTGCACTCTCTACTGGGCTAAGATCCCTTTCTCTGACGCTAATATTTTAAAATGTTAACCTGATCTGCTAGGGTTAGCCATGAGCCATAAACAAACATTTCTGTAAACAGAGCTGCAAAACAGTCCTAGTACACCAAGGCCAGAATGGAATCTGGATTTAAACAAGCTAAATGACATTCCCAACAATTAGTCACAGAAGGAGCAGGGCTCCTGTGTTCTGTGCTCCTTTCTCTTTAAGATGCAAGCCCTAGTGAACTGGACTTTGCCTCCCCCAAGAAATGCATTTCATTTTAGTAAATGGTGAGTGGATTCCATTCTAGAGCAAACAAAGCGAGTGATGTCGAGTCTGTCGGCCCACAGCAGAGAGAACAACAAGAATTGTGTTGTGACAAGCTGCCATGTTTTTAACCTCACACTGCACAGCATCAGGCCAGAATTAGCTATTCCCACACAACTGCCTCATGAAAAGGACTTATTTTCATACAACGTGGTTGATCAACAGCTGCCTAAACAATGGGCACTTAGTGTTTTTAAACCTAACTCCTTTTTTTTTTTTTGCCTCCAGGTCCAACACCCAAGAAAGATAAGAGGGGGAGAGAGAGAAGAGAAGTGGGGGCGGGGGCATCTCTCCTTTAGTTTGAACCTCTCTACCAAATACTGGACAAGTTTAACCAATCGGCCTAACACTGGGAGCCCAGTCTGGGAAGAGTGGACCTTCAGAACCCAGCATGGCAGCAGCAAGGAGCGAATGAAGCTGCATGAAGAACAAGTCTAGGGCCCGATCCACTCAAGGCCTGCCTTGGGGGTCCGAAAGGTGCAGAGGTCAAAGGCATGGGGCTAGAACAGAAGAGCTGGTTAACACTGGGGCCCGAGGAATCAGGAGGTAGCATCAGTCACTCTACTTTTCCAGGGTCATTTAGCCGCTAACACTTAGCCCTCAGATACCCAAGAGTGACAACCAGCAGCTACTGAGACAGACCAGTACCGAGAGAGAAGGGTTAGGGAGGAAGTGGGCTCACACGGACCAAGTGAAACACTCAAACCAAAACAAACTCACTGCCATCAAGTGGCTACCGCCTCATAGCCACCCTGTAGGAACCCCTGTGAGTCTCCGAGCCTGTAACTGGGTACAGGAGTAGAAAGCCCAGTCTTTCTCCAGAGGAGCAGCTAGTGGTTTCAAACTTGAGACCTTTTGGATCGCTGCTCAACTCTAACACTATGCCACCAGAGCTCCCTAGTTGAAAAGCAGGAATCCAAAAAGGGTCTGAATTAAACCAGGTAATCTATGGACTGGAAATAAAAATCAGACTAAATCCTGAAACACACGATGCAACACGCAACAATGCAACTAGGCCCAAACTGCCATGCAGGTACTCTCAGCTGCTACTTTGTATCTAAGGCTTGTACTTTGTATCTAAGGCTTGGGTAGATTTTTAGAGCCTCCCCATGGCCCTGTGCAGTGGTCACAATGATGCTGTGTCACCTGTCCTCCACTGAGGAGGCAGGGAGACCCTTGCACAGACAGGTTCCCTGGCTGCCAGTCCCGATGGTTTTCCCACTCGGTCCCATTAGTATCAAGGCTACTGTTCAGT